CAACAGCTCTTCATTTTATATTGATTTTTGTAGCATAAATAATCCTTAAAATAAGAGGGCATTATCACCTTGCCTTAGATGCTATTTTTATGACAGTTTAGTAAAAAGTTTTATGATGTTTAAGTGAATCTTTCATCATGTGAATGATGGATTGTTGCACTTTTTGGTAAGACTCAGAAGATAATATTCTTTGCTGTAGATTCTGGATAGCTGTGGGGAATAGTATCCTAGGCACACAAGCTTTAAAAAAAATCTTTTGTTAAATATATTTCCAGTAATGCTTTGTGTCTGCATGTTATAATTAAGCATTCTTGTTCCTTCCCAGAGCTAGGTGACTGTAAATTAATGAAATTTTCTGTCATCTGATCCCTGACCAGTATTTGGGTAACTGTGTGAAGAACTTAGTGGTGGAGAAGCTAATATGAGGCCATATTTTTCTTTGTTGACTGCAAATACAAGGAAATCATCCTCTGATGGCAATGGTAAGATTTGCCACAATTGGATTAGCAGCACTTTAAAGTGTAGCCTCACTGAAAGCAAATTCGCTAATACCAGAAGAAGAGACGAATTAGCTGCAAAGCCTTGTGGTTGTGCTGCCACTCAGAAAAGACACCCTCTATCCCTTGATGCATTTAAGATTTGATGTGAAAGGCAATGGCTCCCTCTTTGCTAGAAAGCTCTAAGGCAGCCTTTGTCTATCTCCTGAGAGGCAGTCCTGTCAACCAGGAGTCAAATAAATCCAGACTTCAGAATTCACAGAAGATGAGCTAAGCTTTTGCTCTCTTGCCATTTATCTAGGAGCCCTTGGTGAAAATCCTCCTTAAGACAAATTATGGGCCTCTCAAGCCATTCATTAATGGAAAGCAAATAGTACTCATTCAATTTTAGTAGTGCATTCTATGTGTGGACAAGAGAACTGTATTACTGCGCTTTTCCATTTAAAGAACTTAGAGCTTTAGCTTTGAGTGACTGCTCTGTGCACTTATGCAAAGAGTCAGAATGTATATTTTACTACCTTCAGTATTCTAATGCCCCAAATCATAGCTTTGGTCTTTGTAATCCTCTCTTATTTGCCTATATAAATAAAATTAAAAAACAATGACATATGTATTTACGAAACAATGAAGACTGAAGGCTGTTGCTTTGAAATTTGTAAGATATAATCAACCATATCTTAACCTACAGGATTATTCAAAGGTTAATTAGTTCGAATTTGAAGAGCGCTTAATAAACTGTTTTATATAGAGACAAATTGGTAAAATATACACTGTACAATCATGTCTACCGTCTATACCCAATATTTTCTAACACATGCTAATTTACTTTTGTATTATTTATTTGAATCTGTGAAACAATAAAATACTTCTTTTATTGTTTAATATCAATAATTTATCATGTCTTTTCTCAATAAATACAAATTGGATCTTTGGCAGGCATATTTCTAAAGCTGAACATCCTTAAAAATGAATATAGTTAAAAGAAAAAGTTATATGGTCCTAATTTGTCAAGAAGAAAATAAAATTGGATGTTTTTCAGTCCATTTGCTAGTAATATACGAAACTTTGGAAGTGATTGATATTTTATATATGTTTACTTCAGATTAAAATGAAATTTTCATAATGCTGTTTAAAATACAAGGCAATTAAATTCCCACTGTCTTTGTTTTTGTGCTTCTGGTTAGAACTTTTGAAAAACTTACATGGTAGTAATAACCATAAAACCATCTTGCTAAGGAAATGCCATACAGTTTGGAAATGAGATCTTTAGTGTTTGTGTGGGAACACATGAGCCTGAACTCTTTATAAGAGGTTTAAACTAGTTGAGTGTGAATGTCCACTGCTGTTAAGATCTTTTTTTGTAAGGACATTTTCCTGGTTAAGGACAGTAAAAGGCAGGCATGAATTTTTAATTTAAGAAAGTTAAGTCCAGATTCTTTGAGACAGCTAAGCTGCTCTCAAGTACAAGTCGCCAGGTCTTTTTTTCCAATAACCACTCCTTTGTTAAAGGATACTTCCATTCATGGGTAATTAATAGCCTTCTGCTAAGACTGAAGCCAGTGTCTCAGGAACGGTCAAGGCAAGTACATGGCAGTATAAAGGTGTATAAAACAGATTAAACCAAGAACATATATATATATATTATAGATTATACAGAGAATATTAGATAGTATCTGCTATCTCTTTGTCTTCAGAAGAGCTCTGTAAGGTTCACTATATTAATGTTCCCATTTTATAGATGAAAAGCTGAGAACTGCAGAGGCTGCAGAACTTGTTCAAGACCACACATCTAAGGGAGTTGTGAAACCACAAGTCCAAACTAAGCCTCTCTATTTGTAAATTCATGTATTAAACTACCTCATTACATTTTCTGTCCACAAATGGGAAAGAACAAAGAATGGAGAAGACCCAAATATATTATTTGAAAAAAGCTTATTTTTGCATTGCTTTTGAAATGACAGTTATAGGCAAGCAACAGCATCATAAATTATTTCTGAAATATGAGCTTATTTGGAGGAACACAAATTGTGAGAACTTGGTACTGCTGTGTCTAAGGACGATTGTGGTAGCATTCATAAATACACATATCCTTTTTGCAAGTGAAATATCAATGTGCGTGAGATGGATCAATGAGTAAAGGTGCTTGCTTCCGAGGCTGACAACTCGAGTTCAGTTCCTGGAAGCCACGGGTTGCTCTCTGACCTCCGTATCTGTGCTGTGGCACATATGCCCCCACCCCTGAAGATAATTAAATACAATGTAAGAAAAAATGCTTGCATAAATTATTTTTGTTATGTGGATTAGCTACTGTTTGTAAAATCCTATTAAAGAATTATTGTCAATAATTCCTGACAAAACTTCTCAGCACTGGGAAGTCAAACCTGTTATGCTAGTCATGGCCTGTGGCTGACAGAATATTTATTCTGAGGTAACTTATAAATTGCATTTTGCCCCTTCTGTTGCCAGGAGCTTGTGATGGAGAGTGGGTGGAGAGGACAACCTGTAATTCAGGATGGTTGGGAAGCTGGTTGCCTAGGAAACTGAAATGAGCTACAGAATGCCCACAAAAAACAAATGTCAACAAGAAGGGGATTTTCTTCTTTGATCTGAGTTCCTTTCCTAATTCATACCCTGTGTTTGTGGTACCTGATTTGTGCTATTTTTCGTTCTGGGAAGTTCATGCCAAAAAGGGCAATATATTAGCCAGGAAGGGCAGGAAACTTTATAAGCATTGTGCTGACTAAATATTTGGAAGGACAATGATAGTGCAGCTGAAATGAGTTTGTAAAAGGATGAAAAATGGATGAATATTTTAAATACTTAAAAGGCAATTCTTTGTTTTTCATTTGTCGTGAGTGTGTGTGTGTGTGTGTGTGTGTGTGAGTGAGAGAGAGAGAGAGAGAGAGAGAGAGAGAGAGAGAGAGAGAGAGAGACATGGTTTCTCATTGAACCCAAAGCCCACCATTAAGACTAGGTTGGCTGAACAGAGAGTGCCCAAGATCCACTTATTTCTGCCCTCCAAGGTTGGGGTTACAGACACTGTGGCCATGCCTGACTTTTATTCAAGTCCTTTTGCTTGCATAGCAAAGGAGTCTGCTAACATTAGACCCAGAAATCCATGCCTTCTCCCAGCAGGATAAATTGCCTCCCCAAAACTATTTCTTTGATTTTTCACTGTCAGAGCAAAGGTAAATAGTCAATAGAACCCTAGACAGAGTCCTTATAATTATGTAATAGGGCTGTTTGAGGTATGATTCACAAGAGGTACTGATGTGATAGAAGAGCTCAGGCAAGGGTGGTTGGTTGCCTGGTCCCATTGCCTCTGAAGCCTGGTATGCCTGTGAAGGATACCATTGATTTTATTAGTCCATCGAGTGAGATCTCTGCCTGACAAGATGGTCAACTAAACCTCTCTGAGTTTTCAGTAGAGGAAGCACAGAGGGAAAAAACAACACGGAATCAGTGTTTGGGTCTTCTCTTCTCTGCAACCGCAATCTCCACCTTTTAGTCTTTATAGAGCTTTGGTCCACATACAGATGACTGATGTTTGACCAGGCTCTTGTTCCTTTTCATATGTGGAAAGGAAGGTAGTTTGCAGTGAAATAAAATTTCAAGCCTTGGGAGTCTGTGACTTGGAAGCAACTCAGAAGGCTTCATTCCTAAGAATTTTGATTGGTGTGTCTGACAGTGCTGTCTGGGGTTTGTCTTCTATACACAGCAGAGGGCAGCCCAGCCAAGGGGGAATACAGTGCACTCGGGTTCTTGTAAGAGTGAAGGCTACTGTTTATGCAGCAGAGAGCTTGTCAAGGAGTTTCAAAGCTGCCATATTCAGGACAGGTTCAGATCACAGACTTTGGTGACTAATGACCCTTGTCCTTGCCTTCAGGAATGAAATCCCAAAATGGTCCTAGGGGAGGAGAAAAAAATCCTGACAGCTGTTTAGAAGTTATTTCTGAACTAAATCCCAGAAGAAATACTTTGAGAGAGAGAGAGAGAGAGAGAGAGAGAGAGAGAGAGAGAGAGAAGTAAGAGGAGAAATTAGATCACATCTTTCCTCCTTTCCCTCAGGAAAAGTTGAGCATCTATGGCTATTTGCAGCTCGCTCAGGTGTGCTCTGAAAGTCAAAGCCCTGCATCAGCATTAGTAGGAAGTCCGGAAGCAACTCTACCCCTTAGAAAGCAAGGTGAAGAGTCTCTTTCTCTCTCTCTCTCTCTCTCTCCCTCCCTTCCTCATCCCCTCTCTCTCTGTATATAATTCAACCTCCAAATCTCCAGGACAGAAAATTCAGTGGGTAAAAGGAGAGGCCAAGTGATCTTCTAAGAAGACTGTAATTTCCACAGACCTACCAGAACACTGACGTAGGAACCTCATTAGCTTAAGTGTAAATATTTGTAAATGTTTTCTTTTTTGTATGAATATAATAATTACAGTTATTTTTTTTGCTTCCAAAACTGGAAAGTGAGTCAAACAACAGCAACAATAACAGCTCTTGTCCTGACCACCATGGAATTTCTTGAAAGAACTTACCTTGTGAATGACAAAGCGACCAAGATGTATGCCTTCACTCTCGACAGGTAACAGACATTTGTGTATGCACTTTCATTTTCTGTGTCTTGAGATTCACTAAGACAACATCTCTTATTACTTTTCAATACTACACTTCTGCGTTGCAAAGTGGGGGCATTTTGTAGTTTCTTCAAAGAGGGTGACTGATCTGTGTGATTCACAGCCTGAAAAATGTCATAATCTCCATAGATGGTTTGATTCCTTAAACATTATAAGTGTGTGAAGGAAACATTTGTTAAGATATTTTTCTTCTGGAGACAATCTAATGTGTTTACTTTTCCTTTCCTCAATTATTTCAGTCCTTTAGTTTCTTTTAATGTATCCCACAGTGTCCTGTGTCATATACTCATTGATTTTCATTTGTTTAACAATTATTGATGGAACACACTGAATTAAGTGCTGCATATACAATGGAAAAGAAAATATTCCTGATCCTAGGAATCTGTCTGTTGAAACTAAGAGGCAAATATGAATACGGATAGAAAAGAAGTGATCACAAAATAGCACAATAATATAGGCTGCGGACATTTAATGAGAGCACATTGAGAGAAGCTAGGCCTTACCTGGGCTTCAGAATGAGAGAAAGTGTTTACAAAAGTGATAAGCTAAGGATTGGAAAATGAAATAGAATCACAATAGAGTTAGAGAAATTCTATATAGAAAGTAGGTTTAGGGAGGGTGGAATGCAACTCAATGGTAGAGTGCTTGACTAGCATGCACAAGACCTTGAGTTCAACTCCAAGCACTGAGGGAAGAAACCCTAAGTCAGAAAGTAGGTGAGGTCAGTTTTTCAAACTGATGCAAAATAAAGATAGGGATATGTAAAAAATGGTATATACAAGGACAGGACAGATTGATCCAAGTGGGGAGTTAAGAGCCACAGACTCAGTATATATAAGTTGATGAATGAAAATCTGAAATAAATTCTTACTGAGAGCAGAATTTAAGAGAATATTTACTCATTAAAGAATATGTCTTTTTTATTTTGTAGGACCAAATTAATTATCTAAAAACAATGATATTGATAACATCAAATCATTTTGATTTTTCCTAAAGGGTGTTTATAATTTTGTTTTACAAATTCATATAATACAAGATGGACATCTATTATCATATACTAGAATTATTTTCTTAGAATATAATATGAGATGTGAGTTATTGATCATTTGAATCTCTACAATTGGATAAGAAAGAAGGAATGTGCTTATGAGTTGGGGCAAAAGTGACTTCATCCAGGTACATTTCTAGAGCAGGGTCTATTTTGTAAAGCCCCATATATGAGTCTAGTGGTTTTATCTACTTATAGTTTTCTGGGAAACTAGGAAAAAATCAGACAGTTACTCAGAGGTAATCATGAAAGTTAAGACTCCAGATAGAGTCCTGCAAAACTGACAGCATTTAAGCCAATTTAAAGATAAATCAAATAAAACAAAATGTATTCAATCTTAGAAGAATAAGCAAAAATGGAGAAAGAAACAAATTATTGCAGAAACTCAAGAAGAAATAGAAAATCCAAGTTCACCTATGGTAAGTGAAAGGATTAAAGGATCAACATGCAAAAAGCAAATGCAGAGAGAAAGGGAGAGAGAGAGGGGGAGAGAGAGAGAGAGGGAGGGAGGGAGGGAGGGAGGAAGGAAAGAAAGAAGGAAGAAAGGGAAGCCTAGATTTCTTCTCTGATGACTTCTACCAAATGTAACACCACATTAATATCTACTCTTCGTAAAATGTTCTAAAAATAGCAGTGACCCCTTCCCAGCTTATTCCATAAATCCACTACTATGATGATGACAAAAAGTGTCACAATAAAATAAAATAAAATTAAGATTATTGTTTCTAATGGATATTGATGCACAAAGCCTCAAAAACAACTAGCAAACAGAGTCATATATATACATATATGTATATATATCAAGTTATAATTTTCAAATGCTTATCTCAGTAGTACAAGTTTGATTTAATACCTAGATTGATTTAACAGTCTAGAAGCTAGAGAGCAAGAGTTCAAACACACGGGCTTGGGGAAGACATTTCAAACCATGGCAGGCTCCTCCTTCACCTGTGTATAAAAACCACCAATAGCCTGATAAACTCCTATAACCATGCCAGTGCCAAGAGGAAAACCAGCCTGAGGCTAAACACAGCTGGGAAGAACAGAGAAAAGGATCTGGAGCCCCATTCAAACAGTACTTGAAGCCTGGTTTCCTTTAGGTGTTTTCAGTTGCAGAATCAGTAATTCTCAGGTATTGATTTTTTCCAACCCGATCTTTGCTTTCTATATTTATAACTCCAACTTTTCTAGCCAATATGGAGCCTAGTTGTATAAAAATGTATATTTGTGTATTATAAAACTAAACAGTAAGTATTGTCACTCTGAGGTATGGTTGCCAGTGCTTTCTCTTTATTAAAATATTTTGTTATTGCCTGCATGTGGGTAAGTGCACCCATGTCATGCAATCCCCATGGAGATCAGAAGAGGGCGTCGGATTCCATGGAACCGAAGTTACAGATAGTTGTTGGTCACCATGTGGATGCTGGGAATTGAACTTGGGTCCTCTACAAGAGGAGTCAGTGCTCTCATCTCACTAGCCTCAACCAGTGCTTTTTCATTGCATTGTGCTCTTTTGTATTTCTAGATTATTCTATAATGAATATGTATTTTTTTTCAGAAAAATTTGAATATGATGATGATTAAAGTGATTATAATACTTATCAGCTTAATAAAAAACACCAGACTTTTAATTTCAGGGGGTGACAAGTCAATGAAATAAGCCCACATGTAGAAGCTAATTTACTTTTTTAACATTCACAGCTAAAAATGCAAAGTTCTTAATTCCAAGAACCTCATTAATGTTTTCAAATAAGCTTATTGAATTTACAAAAAATCTTATTAGTTCAAGATCCATGGGCAATGTCATCTGCACCAATAAAAACTGATTTTAGGTGCACTGATACCAAGACAGCAGGCTGAGAGGTGGTGAAGAACAGTGAGTTTTAAATTGCTTCCCTGCCATTTCCTGCCTGTTTAACCTCAGAAAAGCACATTACCTTTCTGAACCTTATTTATTGCAGCCAAGAAACTGTACAGCTGGGTTAAATTTTATCCACAATGTCTCAATCTATGATCCCATCAAAGTCCCTAGATTAAGCTTCATGCTTGAATGGGATTGATAGTCACTGTTTGTTTTGGGAATCACAAGTAGGATTCAACTTTCATCATGTTGACTATTTGGTAGAGATTTCTGAAAATGGGTGACAAGTTTTCATGAAGGTCCCTATGGACTCAGCATGAACGAGTCTTGTGACCTGCTGATGAGGTTGAGGGGTATTTTCTATACCATACATTGTCTCCTGACTATCATCATCATCATCATCATCATCATCATCATCACTTTGTAGCATAGTATCTAGACTCTTTTCCGCATGAAATAACTAAGAAAGACTTGCGTTAAAGTCAATCTACTTCTTTCCTATTACCTGTTGTCTCTTAATCATGCATTTGTATTGACTGGATGAGCATGGCTCAATGAAGAAGAGCTTTTTGTTAGTTTCAAGTTCAGAGGGAAATGCAAGGAGAGCTCTGAATTATAACCTCTTAGCTAATTACCAAATGTCCTAATAGCAGCACTAAGAATGGGTAGGACTTCCAGGGAGGTATTTGTTTACAACCATGTTCACTTTTTGCTCCTGTCAAACTCATCCACAGCATGGAACTTGGACAGACACCTGTGAATAAAGATCAGTGTCCTGGGGACAGGCCAGAAGAGCTGGAGGCAGGAGTCATCTATCACTGCCACAGCAACTCCAAGGCCACAGAGAACAGGGAGAGCGAGCAAGTGCATGCCAAGTGGAAACTCTGTGCTGCTTCAGCAATATGCTTCATTTTCATGGTGGGAGAGGCGGTGGGTGAGTATTGCCCCGAGAAAACTCTGATTAAACCAGCAGACAGACAAAACCCTGCATCGTCATAGGAAGAGCACCTAGGTTGTCCTTTAAAAGTAAGATTTAATATTTTCTGTATGTATAGAATAACAGTAGGCACAGAATAGGCAAATTGGAAAGTAGAAGAAAACATAAAATTCATTATTTTGTCCCATTCAAATGATAACCTCCAAACACATAATGAAATACTCTCTATAATACATTTTCTATGCATAGCTCAGAAGTTTTTTTCTTTTCTTTTCTTTTCCATAATTGGGAGTATGCTGAATGCTTTTGACTATGCTATCAAATACTGTTTAAAATGCCTGAACAGAATTCTATAATATGCTCTATTGTAATTTACATAAACAGTTTGCTATTGTTAGAAATTTAGTGAGATTTTTCTTGGTCTGGCCAATGCTACAATGAAAAAAATCTTAATAAAATTCTGCCTGCCTTTCTAGGTAATCCCTTCAAAGGGATGCCTAAAGTTGGAAATAATTGGTGGAAGGATATAAATATTTTTCTTCTTCAATCGTTCTGTCAAACTGCTATCCAGTAACTTGAAATGATTCATTTGTAGAACAGCTCTTCATCAAAATGATTCTTCCTCCAAATCATTATTAGCCTGTATTTTAATCTAAAAATCTTTGCTGGGGCAGGAAGGATGGATGGTTCAGTGGGTAAGAGCACTTGCTGCTCTTCCAGAGGACCTGAATTCAGTTCCCAGCTCCCATGTTGGGTGGCTCACAACTACCTGTAACTCCAGCTCCATTGGGTCTGACACCCTCTTCTGGTTTCTGTAGGCACTTGCATGCACATATGCATAAACACACAGACACATGCACATAAATAAAAATAAATAAAAATCTTTTTGATGGATAGACGAGTGTTCTAATAGTCATTACTTTAATTATTAGAATATTTTTGCATGCTTGTTAGTCAAAGGTATTTCCTTCTGTTATGCATCTCCTCCTTTATTGTCTTCCTAGTTTGGAACGTTGTAATTTTGTTAGTTTCTAGAAGCTCTTTACATATTAGGATGCTAGGCTTTTGCTATATTATTTATAAATAATTTCCTATTTTCTTTGTTGCTTTTTAATTTGTTTGATTTTGAGATGTTTTAAGCTTCCCATATGCAATTTAAGTTTTTTTTCTTTTTTCTTTCTTTTCTTTTCTTTTTTTTTTTTTGTCTTTTTGAAACAAGGTCTTCCAGCTGCCAGCTGGCCTGGAAGATACTATGTAGACCATGTTGGACTCATTCTCACAGAGCTCTTCCTGCCTTTGCCTCCCAAGTGCTGGGATTAAAGGTGGCTGCTACCACATCCAGCTCAATTTAAGTTCTAAATATAGATAATTATAAAAATTTTCATTTTGAGCTTTTTAAATGACTCTTTTAGTGTGACAGTAATCTCTATCCACTGAGATGATAAATGCTTTTAATGTAGTTTATTAAATTTTTGTGTTTAATTTTTACATCAATGTAAAATTTTGTATTTTGCATGTTGTAAAGATTGAACATTCCTTTTCTAGATAGCAAATAAGGTTTTAAGCATCATTTATGGCATAATTATTTTTTCATTGATATTTGATATATTTTATCATTTGTCAAACTTTAGTAACAAAGTATACTCCTAAAGTTGTTTGTGCATTGATTTGAATTTCTATTCTCTGAAGGTGTCATAGCTAATACGGATTTATGTGTTACAATATCTGTTTCCTCCTCTTTATTTAGCAGAAAAAAATGTAAAGCCTAATCATTTTTTTTAATTAAACATGAGACTCTGTTTCTGTTCTTTTCTCCTCTAACCTAATTCTGATTTTTATTGATATGTAAGATACTGTGAAAATATACGTATTTATTAGTAATTGAAATGTAGCTGTACTATTCTCTTTTGGTGTTGCTTTTCTAAGATTTTTGAATCACAATTGCACATGCTAATATGGAAAGCTTAGTTTCTATAATTTCCTTTGAATAAAGAAACAGCTCTGTAATTATCTCTTTCTTTTTAAACATTCTGGGTGTCTGACTTTAGAGATATTTTTGTAGATAAATATTTCAGCTTCTTCATACACGGATATGTTAAAAATTTCTACTTTAGTGCTTCTTGGCCATCTATGTATCTAACTTTTTGAATTTTTGTGATTTCATCTAATATATTTTGATCATATTTAGAACTGCTTCTCTATCTGCACCTCCCTTACTACCCCCATCCAATTTCATGTCATATGTATTATATATATATGTATGTATGTATGTATGTATGTATGTAGATAGATAATAGAACCCTATAAAGTCAAATTCATGTTCCCAAATGCTCTTCCCTATGGCCCCCTCCATGGAAGCCTGAAGCTATCAAGAGTCACACTCTTAAATGAAACTGACTCTCCCCCTCCCAGCAGCCTTCCCAACCCCTACCTAAGGAATTATTGATAATATATATTTTTCTAAAACTGCTGATGTAATGGAAATTTTCAAATTTATTATCATGCAGTGGAAGATGATAGCCTCCCATTTGAGTTTCCTTTGTTTGAAAGCTTTAGCATACAATGTTGTCTCATTGTTCTTACAATATAAAAAAGAATATGGTAAAGTTATCTGATAAATAGAATCAATGTTTCTGTCACTGTTACCTCCCACACTGTTACCAATATCTCAATGGCTTCTTTTTCCATCTCATACCCAGGAGGACGGCTAAATGAATAAAAGAGAGGACCGGAGGGAAATACACTACGTCCAGCTCCTTGTGGCACTCTGCTTTCTAGTTGCCGGAATAAGCTAATTTCTTCTAGCTGTGGGATCTTCTCATGTTTAGACTTTTGCAGCTTTTGAAAAACCAAATAAGAGCTTAGATCTGTTCAGTGCAAGACAACTGTATCATTGGTAGACAGAATCCCGATAAAAATTTACAAAAAAAATCAAATATGTAACTTTTTTGAGTTAAGAGACTTGAAAGTTTGATGGAGTTGGAAAATAATTTGCTTTAGGCAATAGGCAGGCCCAACCTAGAAAATCATCTTAGATTGTAAAAGTCTACCTGGATTATACAAACACACACACACATTCCCCACACATAGATAGAAGTACATATGGATCAATAATAAGTACATACATATGTACAAACATATGCTTATGCATATATGCCTGCATAGATAGATAGATCATGTATTCTACAAACAGAAAAGTTTGCTTCATTCTTTTCAATTAGAATGTCTTTTATTTTTTGCCTTGCTTGTTTGCTTTAGTTAGGCCCATAGAACTATTCCAAACAGAAGTGGCAAGAGTGGGTCCCTTGTTTTTGTTCCTTGTCTCAGGAGAAAGACTCTCACTCTTACCCATGTGTAGCACACAGCTGTGAGCTTGTCACACATGGTCTCTATTCTGCTGATGTGCAATCCTTATCCTCCTAATTTGCTATTGGCCTTTTACTTTAAAATGTCTTGTTGGGGGCAGGCCTGGGAAGCTGTTCTCCTGGAATCCTCCTTTTCATGTTGCTCCTGTGAATGAGGATGTGTGAACTCTAACCTGACTCTTAGGGTCAGAAGGGTTGTCAGAAAAGGAATGTAGTGGAAACTGACTGGCACTTGTGGATTTTGAGATATATTGATATTAAGCTAGTTTTTCTAAAACTTTGCTCTTATCATGCTACTTGACTTCAAGGCTCTTCAGCTTCTTCCCTTTCCGTGGTACTGTGGTTCATATTTTCCCATCATGGATAACATAGGGCATGTTTTTGATATTTTCTCTCCTGTTACATCCTTGCATGACTATTTTGTCCTAACCCAAAAGAGATAATCCATTTGCTGAAAAATAAGCATTGTACTTTAGAGTTCCAGTTCCCTCTGTGGCTATGAAAGTCCTCTCCATTCTCCATTCTCATCGAAGTCCTAACCGTCATTCAAGACTCCAATCTACACCTCACATACTCCGCCAAATCAGAGAAAAAATCTGTTATTCTCAAGACTACTTACTAGATTCTGGGAGATCTTTATGAAGGATATAGGATTTGAACAAGGCCTTCAAGGATGGATAGTTGAGATGTAGCCCAGCAAGAGACGAGAAAGGTTTTCTGATGGCAGGGACTGGAAAAACTATCTCATTATCTATTTCTGTGTTCTGGGAGATGGTAAGTATTGGACTTGACTTCAGTGATCTCTACTGGGTATGTCTGAAGCAGGACATGGAATAATATCATTAGAGATGACATACAACGAGAACTTCCTGATCAGCATGCTCTCCCATTCTCTCCTCTGGTTGCAGGCCTGGTCCTACTGGTCTGTGGCCCTCATGCTCACAGGCAGGGTTGAGTGAGTCTCCAACTCTTTGTATTAGGAGGCTGAATAAAAGCTTTCTCTCTTTCCTGTAAAAAATTAAGCTGCAATGATATAGTCCTGTGTCTTCCAGATCCCTATCTGTATCCTGTCTGTCTTCAATAGGTTAATAAAGACCAACGGCTGGAGATGGGGCAGAGCCCCAGTAACATCTTTTGCCCCTTAGAAGTAGGGCACACTTGATCAATCCTCCCAGATTTGTTATCATTCATACGAGCCAATAACATAATATTTCTGTTGTTTAAGCTAATTTAGGTTAAGCATTTATGACTTAGACCTGAAGAGCCTACATAAAGCAGGTTTTACAGAAGGTATAGCCATAATGGTAGTTGGAGAGTCAAGGAGTGGGAAAGATGATATGACTAGAGCTGGAGCAGGCAGAGGAAGACACATAATTGAGAGTGAGAAACTTTTCTCTTACTAGAAGATGTGCCTGGGTGGTGTGATAGCAACAGTTTGATTAACTATTGTACTCCTTTTGTTTCATAGATAGGGTGTTTCAGTGACTTAGATCACAAATATTTTTTGAGGTTCCGTCTGTTAAAAAACGAAAAACATGACCATGAAAACTGTGACATATTTTAAATCTTCATAAATAATAAATTGAGGTTTTGACACATCATAGCAAATGGTACAGGACAATATAATGCCATCCTTAAGATATGAATTAATAGCATGTGATGCTTTGGCCCAGTAGCAGATATAAGACCAGTGTTGGGTGAATGGTTATTTTCTCAGCACCACCAACGTACTTCTTCTTCCTAGGAAAATCCCGTGGGAATTTAACACCAACTGTTTAAATCTGATGTGGCTTGTGACTAGGAGATCCAAGCCTAACTTTTTCTATCGTCACTTCCCATCATGGGCCTACGTGGTCTGTATCCAGGGCTGAGACCTTTCTCTGCTTCTGCTGCCTTGATATAGGTACATTCGCCATATACCTTACCATATCCAGAAATACAACTCCCATTGCCTGCTTTGTGCCTTGCATAATTTCCTTTGTTCATTACTGTTGTGGTTTTTTTAAATAAAAATTTGTTGTGTGTGTGTGTGTGTTTGTGTATGTATGTGTATGTGTCTGTGACGTGTGTATAAGTGCCTGTGGAAGCCAGAAGAGATGTGGGATCCCTTGGAGCTGGAGTTGCAGACAGATGTGAGCCACCTGATATGGGTCCTGGGAAGTAGACTCAGGACCTCTGGAGGAGCAATGAGTGCTCTTAATCATAGAGCCATCTCTCCAGCTCCAATGTATTTTTGTTTTGTTTTGTTTTTTACCTAGCACACAAATTACTAGGTTTCATATGTAATTTTGAAATAAAATTTGTTTTCGTTGGCTGTCCTCTGCTCTCCTCTTTGTCTACCACTGGGACCCTTCTACCCCCATACTTCCTTTCCCTTTCATGTCTCATGGGTCCTGATGCCCTCTTTCCATTCCACAACACCCATTTTACTCCCTCTCTTGGCCTTCTTTCTGGTTTCATAGCCTATACACACAGTCATATCCATGTATACCTACATATGAACATTATATAGACATATATAAACATTAGGATCCACATAGGAGAGAGATCATATGATATTTGTCTTTCCGAGTCTGGGCCATATCACTTCATATAATTGTTTCCAGATCCGTGTTGGTGGCACACGCCTTTAATCTCAGCACTCGAGAGGCAGGGGCAGGAGGATCTCTGTGAGTTCAAGGCCAGCCTGGTCTACACAGTGAGTTCCAGGACAGCTGGGGCTACAGGGAAACCCTGTCTCAAAAAGACCAAAAATTTATTTTTATTTGTTTCATGTGTATGAGCATTAATGCCTGCAAGTATGTAAGCGCACCTGTGTTGTACAGTGCCCGCGAAGAACAGAAGAGGGCTTTGGAGTCCCTGGAATTGGAGTTGTGGATGGTTGCTAGCTGTCATGTGGGACTTCTATAAGAACAGCCACTGAGCCATCTCTCCAGCCCTCAGATCCTTGTTTTTAAACCATCAGCTTCTGGTCCCTCCCAATCACTATGCAGCTGGCAAAGATCTCTCTCAAACACAAATCTGAACATGTCCCTGTCTTGGTTGAAAATCCTAAGTAGATCCCCTTAGCCCATAGGATAACTTTCAGTTTCCTTGGTTTGACATAGGATGTCCCTGCAAGTGTCCTTAACCCACCTTTCAACCTCATTTCCCATAATCCTTGTATACGCTGCATCTCATATTTTTCTGGAAAGGTACCACACTCTTTCATTTCTCTTTTTATGTGTTCTTTTCTGTTCATGAAAAACCCTTGTTTTCTTGTTAAATCTTAGCACCTTCTTCTTTGAAAACGTCCCCAATGCCCCCAGTGCTCTCTGATTCCAGCCCATTGGCAAGTCTTCAGTGCAGTGAGTGAAGAGAGGGAGGTCAATTTTTACCTTTGTGTACCTTGCCCATGCTACCATGCACAGCAAGGGCTCAATAAATACTAGCTAGATGGTTGAATGAAATGTCAATAATACCCCATGTTTTCAGATGCAAAAGCAAGTGCAGCCATATGCTGCCTCTTGAAAACCATTTTCTCTATAGCATTCAGCAGTGCCCACAGTTTTCTGGATAGTTCTTATTACCAGCTCTGATGGGTACAAAATGATTCTGTAGTCCTAGGTCTCCACATTAACATGATTCTTCTAAAGCAAGCCCCTTTTCCTTCTTAGTTACCTTCCTGACCCAGCTGAGTCTATAAGAGAATTCCTCTAAGACTTCCTTTCCTTGGCTTAGCTGGCAATTCTAGCCTAGGGAGAGTCTGCATCACTCGCCGCTGAAATTACAGCCTGCTGCTTATCTGCATGTAGTTATTCTCCAGGCAAGAAATAATACATTATTAACACAGCTTTATTATCAGGACCAAGTTTGGCAGCTAGAGCAACATTAGAGGATAATTGGAAGGACAGCTGATTTGTTAGCAAAATGTTGCCTTTTGGCTAATGAATCATTCTGATTTTTGTACTGACAGCTCAGTAACAAGCTTGAAGACTACTTTGCTTCAGACCATTAAACTTTGACAAACCCGTTATTAACTACAGCTTGAGCCATCGGTCTGTGGGGACTACTGCAATTATGAACCATCTTTGTAATTTTTTTAATCATTAGGGGAGACAAGGTATGCCTGATGATGGAGGGGCTGATGGCTGACAATCTCTGTTGCTTTGAAGCACACAGGCAATAAACAGCTGTGGGAAGGGCTAATCAGTCAGGACAAGGTCTTCACTGGGAAGAGGTAGTGAGAGCAATAAAGTTACTGCTCTCAGACAACAATCCCTGCTTGAGAAGAAAAGGACACAGTTTTTCTTTAATTTCTATTCTAGAGGCCTGGGACGGGTCTTTTCAGAGGATAAATAGAAAGAAGAAGACAGAGTACAGCAAATGCTAAGCAAAGTGAGGTGGGGTTCAGGTGGCTGTGGGGTTCTATTCCTGTGCTTTATCAGATTGTTTTCGCCCTCAGCATGCCCACAGGAAGGCGTCTCTGCTTCTCCTTTCTGCTCCCCACTGCTTATAACAGGGTTTCCCAATGCAGATAGGTAGTGTAATTCAGAAGCTCAAAAGAAAGCAGTAAGGACTATGCTAAAATTACAACTAGATAACAAGTCTGGGGACCAGATTGCAACACCTGCTTTCCAGCAGAACTTCAAGTTCTCAGCTTGGGTTATGGGACCTTCTGGAACTAGCTGACACCTCTACTGCCTTATGTACTCACAGCCCCATTTCCAAGGCCTCCTGCCCAGCCTAATTGAGATGTTCTGTGTGTGCCTCATACTTCCCAATATCTGTGTTTTTACAGCCCCAGAAATGGCCTTTACCTTGACATTCATTTTTGTATGTTAAAATCTTACTTACTTTTTGGTTCTTTTTCAAAGTGGTTTGCCATCTCAAGTTGTGTGCATCTGAGGCATTATTCATCAACTATGATTATATGTATATGTTTCTAATTGCCTTCTGGGCCTTTAAGCCATTGTGAAATTGTGCATCCTGCAGGTGGACATGTTGCTGGGAGTCTTGCTATCATCACTGATGCTGCTCATCTCTTAATTGACCTGACCAGTTTCCTGCTCAGTCTCTTTTCCTTGTGGTTATCATCAAGGCCCCCCTCCAAGAGGCTCACATTTGGGTGGCACCGAGCAGGTACAGTTCTTTGAGCAATCATGAACAAGCACTGGTGCAGATTCAGACCAAGGTTAAAGTGAAAGGCGAAGAGCAAAGCCTTGTTCAAAAATTCCCTCAGGGCATAAGTCTGGTGGGCAGGATAAAATAAGCATGTGTATGGGAATGTGTGCTTTCAATACTAGTTCAGCTGACAGCCATGTTAGTGGTACTATTTCCTCTCCTGTGGGACAAGAGGCATACATATATCACATTAGCAGTCACCCTACATCCAGGGTCCTGTGGTAACAGCTAAGAAATGATTCACTGTTACCCTGAATCCTTGGAAGAGAAGATGAAGGGAAAGCGTCTGCCATGTTACAAACTAGAGCCCAACAGAGCCCAGAAGAGGGTTGATGGACTTCTCACTGGGAAGTGTGTGCTTTCTTTGTCACATACAGCATTTAGTCATGTTTATGGTTTCAATATTCCCTTTGAATCATGTTGGAATTCAATTGCTGCTAGGATGGTATTAAGATGTGGGACTTTTAAGAGATGAATAGGCCATGAAAGCTGTATTGTCAGTAGAGTAATGCTGCTACTGTGGGAGAGGGGTCCTGATAGGGTGATTTTGGCATGTAGCACAATTTCTTCCCCTTGTCTTATACACACTTCCTTGCTTTTCCATCATGCTATGGTATGAAATGGAAATTTTTGCTACTTGCTGGCACCTTGATCCTGAACTTCCCAGGCTCCAGAAATGTGAAATATACATTTCTTTTGGTTATAAACTGCCGAAGACTATAGTGTTTTATTAGAGCAGTAGAAAATACCCTAAGACAGTTGTTCAGTGAATGGACTGTGTTGGCTGAATACTTGCTCAATTAATCATCAGCAACAGTAAACTGGAAGGGGTGGAAGATGGTAAGAAAGAAGAGGAGGAGGTAAAGTTTTGACTTCCCTTCCCTTTCTTGGAACTGTTTCTTTCACAGAATAACTGCTTCATCTTATCTAGGAAGTGGCCCAAACCATGAGATGAGTTCAGTCTCTGGGAATGCTCACTGGCTCATTTTTACAACATCCCTAACTCACCCCTCACAGTGCAAGTGTACTTCACCTGTTATTCATCTGTCAGTCAGAGGAGTTTTGCTTGAATGTTTCATGCCAGTCTTGGGAACCCATAGTCACAGTTTGGTGTTTCTATAGTGGCTGAGAGCTTAATGTAAAAGAGGTACCCATAGATTAATGCATCTCTCAAATCTCAGCAGAAAAGCTTCCTTATACAGCAGATGGTGATTAACATGGAGAACCACAACCGGCCAGTGTGCAGAAAATAAGAGGCTGCAGAGTGCTCATCCCTGAATAGGATACCCATATCAAACTTCTGCCTCCCAAGGCTCAGGGATCATTGTGGAAGAGGGGGTTGGAAAGATTGTAAGAGCCAGAAGAGGTTTCCAGACAGCTGGTCAGTTACTCATATGAATTCACAGCAATAGTGACAATGTGGGCAAGTCCCAACTAAGCTCAAGTCAGACAAAATTCCAACCTAGATTTGGGGAAGAAACCCCAACCCTATCTAAGGAACTGCTAGTAACTGATGGCTGCTGGGAAGGAGAGACTCAGTCTCATCTAAGAGTGAGACTCTTAGTAGGCTGACCAGACCCCAATAGATGAACCCACTCCAAAGCACATTTGGGGACAAAACCTGACTCTATAGGCCTTTGTATATATATATATGCATATATCTTTATACTAGAGTACAGAAATTTTGTGGAAGAATTAGAAAGGAGTGTGCAAATACGGGAGGTACAAATAATATGATCAAAATATATTGTGTTAAATTCACAATAATAAAAAAAAGATATGAAAGAAACCATGTGAGGACTCATGACCAGACTTCAGTAAAAGGTATGGCTAGACACAGACCACAGCTTATATCTGACAATGTGCACTATAGGTTTTCAAGGTTAGAACATAGGAAATTCTGTATTCATGCTAAGCAGTTTATCAGTGCAGGTGTTTCAAATTGGCTTCCCTTCAACATTCAGAGAGAAATGAGGCAGTAAACAACAACAGGGAGTTTGTGACGATGAGATCCAAGAATGCTTTTACCTGTTCCTAAACCGAATTACACTTGGAAGCCATGCACCTTAGGTGGAGCACGTATCATTTTTCTACACAAATTTTTACATTCACTTGAGCCTTTCTGATACCATTAGTCAGAGCCATTTTGTAAATCTAGAGTGTTTTTTTAAATACAGGATGGGCTCAGAATTTTACACTGTTGTTAAGACTGTGTCACCTCAACCATGGAAATCTACAAGTCCTGCTATTTTAGAAGACCAGGACCATTCAATAAGACTCTTTGCTATGAGGTGAAATGTTTGGGATTACAGAGTATGATGTCAATACTGAGAACTTTAAATGTGGCTGCTGTGACTTAAGAACAATATTTTTTTATTTTATTTACTTTTTTCTTTTTGGTCTTTTTTGAGACAGGGTCTCCCAGTAGCCCCAGCTGGCTTGGAACTCAGTATGTAGACCAGGCTGGCCTTGAACTCACAGAGATTGCCTGCCTCTGCCTCTCGAGTGCTGAGATTAAAGGCATGCGCCACCACACCCAGCTCCTTTATCCACTTTTTAATTAAAAAACTCCACATGATTGGTGACTACCATATTAAGCATCCCCACCATAGACATAGTTCAGTCTATGAGCCCACAGGCTGGTCTGGCCAACTTGCTGACCTTGCTTGCCTGTTTCTTAGCAACCATGGAACATTTGTCCATTGTTTCTCACGTTTCTTTTCTAACTAGGTGCTTTAGGGTTCCTGTCCAATGTTCCACTATGACTGCTGATTCTTGCACTTGGTGTTTGGGCTTCATTCCTCTAGCTCTTTCTAAACATGAGCTTAGAGTGGAACATGCTCCATCTGTATATCCTGATTTGGATCCTTATGGGTAGGAAACATATCTACCATCTGTGAATCCAGTCTCTATTTCAAGATAACTGGAAATTCTTGGGCTTGATCCTTAACTTCTGAAAAGGAAGTTTTAAACAGTCTGGCTAATTAAATATTTCTTGAGAGTTTGCTGTATGTTGTATTAGTTTCCCAGAGCTGCCCTAATAGCATACTTCAAACTGGATGGCCCAGAGAGAAATTTATTATCTGAAAGTTCTGGTAAAACAGAAGTCTGAGATTAAGGCTTTAGGAAGGTGGGCTCCTTCTAAGGTCTGTCAGCAACAACCTGCTCCATGGTTTTCTCAACCTGCTGGTGGTTTACTGGCAAACTTTCTTGTTCCTTGGCTTGTAGATCTCTGCTTTAATCTTTGTCTCTGCACACTATGTGCAACCAACCATAATGGATCAGAACTTCCTGATTCCAAAATGACTGTGCCCTAACTAGTCATATGCAAAGACCTTATTTCCAAATAAAGTGACACTACAGGATATTGACAAATAGCATTTCCAAATACAAATTTTGGAGGGACAGACTTTAACCCACAGCATAAGCCAACTTGTACATATTTACTACGTTTTTACTTTATAGATAAAGAAACTGGCTCAAGGGGCTGGAGAGATTGCTCAGTGGTTAGGAGCACTGGTTATTCTTGCAGAAGACTGGGTTCAAATCCCAGCACCCACGTGGCACCTAACAAACATCCATAACTTCAGTTCCAGAGGATTCGAAGCCTTCTTCTATCCTCCCCCCATGCGCATTGCACAACACGGGTGCAGTTACATACGTGCAGGCATAACACTCTTGCACATAAAATAAAACAACCAAATGAAGAAATAAATAAAAAGAAAACTGGCTCAAATAGGTTAATTTGCTTGTGTAAAGCCACACAGGCAGTCAGTGCTATAGCATATACATCCGACACTTGAACTCAAGTCTTCAACATCTGTACCAGCACTTTGTGTAGCGTAAAAAATGTTCTATGGATGGACAATCGGATGGTTTTGAGCATGAACAAGAATCACACACACACCCTAATATGTTTTTAAAAATAAAATAGCATATCACATTTTTAATTTAATGGTTAACTTTTTTTTTTAGGAAAAAGCTAAGTGTAAGAATGTGTGTTTATGTGAGGAAAATATGAAACAGCTAAGACAAGGGGCACGTGAATATGACATCATAAAGACTGCCTATAGATGACTAAAGTCTGGGAAGCAATAGCCACATAGTGGGTAATAGTACACTGTTTTGCTTTAACAGGCAGAAATAATGGAAAGGGTGGGCTCTAGTTAGCTTTGTCAACTTGATGTAGCTTAGAGTCATCTGAAGAAGGAAGCCTTAATTGAGGGATTTTCCAGATCAAGTGGATCTGTAGGCATGCCTGGAGGATGGTCTTCATGGTTGATTGCTGTGGGAGAGCCCAGCCCACTGTGGGCAGCACCATTCCCCAGGAAGGTGGTCTTGGACTATATGGCTTCTGCTTCAAGTTCCTGCTTGAGTTCCTACCCTGAGTTCCCTCAATAATGGACTGTGATGGAGAAGTATAAGCCAAATGAACCTGCCCCTCCCCTTGCTTTGGGCAATGGTGTTTGTCACAACAGGAAGAAGACTAGGGAGATTGAAAAATGTACCTGACCACTGACTGTAGTTTCTAGACTCCTGTGGGTGTTCCGAACCCACCCACAAGGCTGACCAAGAGAACAGTGTGAGCATCTAATGACCACAGGCACTGTCTTCAAGAGCAGACTGAACTCTATTTCATCTCCAAATATTCATGCAAATGTCTCCTTTCTGATGTTTCTTTTCCTTGCCATTGCTCTTAAAAGGCAGAGTGCTGATGAGCCTCTGAGCTTGCCGCTGTGTTTATAATATGTTGGGTTGGCAAATGAAACTCATTTTCATCAAGTACCATCTGAAGCTTTCCCTTCTTACTATTTTATTTCACTAAAGGTGCTAGTGCTGGCAAGTCGTAAATGTTTTGTGGTGAAATTAAGTGTTTCTAAACACATTTTACACGTTGTGTCTCATTATTTCACCCCCCCAATAAGTTTCAATCATTTTAGCACCTGTGTAAGTTATATTCCCCGAGGAGAACAGAGAGGGCAGGCAGCAATTAATATGTTCTAAAAATTTGCTGGAAATTACTCAGTAATAGGGAGTGTAATGAATTCTGATGCTGGTGTTTTATGAATGCAACATGAAAGAAGCTCATCTTGGTTCCCAAATCCATTCACACTTGTGCTTCCTGAAGTAATGAAAGAGCCAGTATGAAGCCATTTTTTTCAGGATCATGAGTCATTCAGGTATTTTTCATGTTGCTTTTTGTGTATTTGAATCCTAGAGGTACTTGGTGCCCTGCTCTCTGTCCTTTGCATCTGGGTGGTAACTGGTGTGCTGGTGTACCTGGCCTGTGAACGTCTGCTGTATCCTGATTACCAGATCCAAGCTACTGTCATGATCATTGTTTCGGGCTGTGCAGTGGCAGCCAACGTTGTGTAAGTTACCCCATTCTAAGTGCCTTTATGACTTCTCTTCAATCCTATCTGGCCAATGGTTTGTTTCTTAAAAACTCTCCTATTTGTGAAGATGTTAAAGAACCATAGTGTCTCTAAGATTGAAAATAAGGCTGATTACTCTAAAGTGTTTTAAAAATATTTTCTTATTATTTTTATGTTATGTGTATGAGTGTATTGCCTGCATGTAAGTAAGTAAGTGTACCTATGTGTGCACTACCTATAGAGGTCAGAAAAGGGTGTTGGATTCCCTTGGAATTAGAGTTACAGATAGTTGTGAGTTGCCATGTCATTTCTGGGAACCAAACCTGGGTCCTCTGCAAGAGCAGCCAGTGCTCTTAACCACTGAGACACCTCTCCAGTCTTGATTAAAGAGTTTTTAAATATTGGCTTCTATTAGCTACCACTTTTAAAAGTTTCCCACAATGTTCACAACACTCCAACCTCACAGAGTAGGAAACTGAAGCTCAGTTATGTTAAATAGACATTGAACAGAATTTGCACCCAGATCCATAGACCCAGGTCTAGCTCCCAACCACTCTGCTCCCTCATATGTGTTGATGACTCCATATGGGATGGGGCCTCCAAATGGTTCGATTTTCATTAGGTAAGTAGATTATAAATTCTCAGAGAGCTGAGGTAAGAGAGGCCTTGGTATTACTGTGGTTCTGCTTCTACATTCAAGTTCTCCTTTGCACTATCTTAAAAAAGTGCTCATCACTTTTGTATATCTTATCTAAGCCAAAATTGGGATCTTTTCTTATAGTCTGTTTTATCTTTGTATCATGTGACCACATGAAAAGCTGTTTTAGGACAGCTCTCCCTTAAATGCACACTTGTTGGTTCATTCTCTTATTCAGGCAGTCTTCAATCAATCTTGTAGGAAATGACAAATGAAAGTCTTGTCTAGATTTACTTTTCTCTAAATGGAGCGCTTGATTGCTCAGAACAATGGAGTTTTGAGGAAAGGGTTTAATACTTCAAGTCTACTTTGTCCTACCTATTTGATCATCCAATTCTAGATTCTTACTTATAACTATCTCAATACTTATTATCTAGCCCCCAATGTACCTACCTACCTATCACCTGTGGTAGACAGAATCATGACCTGCCAAAGATTTCAACATCTCCAAACCTAAAACTTCTTAACAAATTCAGTTAAATACTGGATGGAATTTTTCAGACTTTTTTTTTAAGAGCAAGAGATCATGCTGGTTTTTTTAGGCAGGCCCTGAGGTCACAAAGACTCTAAAAAGATTAAGTCAGAAGAGCATAAAATGGAGATAATGCTTTACTGTTGGCATTAAGCATGTAGGAGGGGCCTGGAGCCATGGATTAAGTGGCCTTCTGAAGCAGGAAAAGGTAAGAAAAAAATCCTTCCCACCAGAGCATCCAGAAAGAATGAAATCCTTAAAACCTTCAGACTTTGCACCTCCAGAATTATAAGGTAATGGAGTCATGTTTTAAGTTCCTATGGCTTCAAGGTAATTTATTACTGAAGTAAAATGAAATTCACATACAGGTTGAGTGTTCTAGTTTGCCTTCAATTGCTGTTACAACACCCTTCGACCAATACCAACTTGGGGAGGAAAGGGAGCCATGGATTAATTTGTCTTACATCTCCCAGGTCACAGTTCATCAGGGAGCCCAAGGTAGGAACTCAAAGGCAGAACCTGGAAGCAGGAGCTGGAGCACAGGCCACGGAGGAACACTGCTTTTGGCTTGCTCCCCTGGCCCATGATCAGCCTGCTTTCTTATACAATACAGAACAACCTGCTCAGGTTGGTACCACCCACAGTGGGCTGGGCACTCCCACATCACTCCAAAAAAAAATAAAGAGAGTAACCCAAAAATGTGGTCACAGCCCAGTCTGATGGAAACAATTCCCCAGTTATGGCTCCCTTTACCCAGGTGTGTCAAGGTGACAACCAAATCTATCCAGCACATCGAGCATTCCTCATCCAAAGCCTAATCTGAAATCTGAAACTTTGGAGCATCAGTGTTTCAGGCTCCAAATTTTGGATCTTGAAGCATTATGAACTGTGAGATCAAGGATATTTAACTGGTAAATATTATATAAATACTTACAAAAAAAGACCCCCAAAAATCTAGAAACAAAACATTTAAAAACATTTCTAGTATCGGTTATATCAGATAAGAGACCCTTAACCTGTACCTATACTTTTCATATGCCTGTCTTGAAACACAAATTCATATGATTTATAAAGTAGGTTTTGACATGAAAGACCTGGCAGAGGTAAAATATTAGTGCTTTAAACAGGGTTTTTAAGAAACATCCTAGGAGGATCTTTGCACTTAGAGGATATGTTAGCATGTACAGTTTGAAAATGTCCCCTCGGGTCACTCCAAATATCTTACTTTCAGAATCCTCATTTTCTCACCTCTTAGTTTCTACCCAAAATATCTGAGCTAAATAGTTAAAAGAATGATACTTGATGATCTGCGGTCACTGAATAGATCTGATCTACGAGTTAACCTGAAACTATGCTTCATATCGGAATTGGAAGAAAGTGTGGGAAGATGGATGTGGATCTATTGTCTCTAGGAGATAGGTACTCCAGAGCACGTGTTCTGCCGCCTGGGAGTCAATAATACCATCTTTGCATAAGGAGAACAGTGCATCCTTAAGGCAGCAGGAAGAACTAAAGTATTAATAATTTCTAGAGAGTCACCTGACGCATAAGTTGTGTCAACGCTACACAAAGATGAAGGATATACATAGCTAACTATCACATTAATCTGAGACTTTAATGATGAAGCTTGTTGTTCACAATAGATACTATTGAGATTTTCTTTTTACTGTAGCTGCTTCTGACCTTAATATTGGAAGTACTTTTCATACTTAGAAAGACAACAGAATTGAGAAGCTCTACCTCCCCCCAGCAAGCAAGCAGGTAGTTATTTATGGGCAAAGGCACTGAGTGGCTACAATGTTTCCTCCAGGAACTGAGATTACAGGTTTCAAATGCTGCTAGATACTGTATTGTCTGGATATATACAGCTATAAGAGCTGCAATTTAGAAGTAAAGTATTCCTTGGAAACCCCAAATCAGGACAGAAAGTTCCAGTAGAAATTGGGAAGAGATTCTCTGAAGAATGTTGTAGACAGAGCCTTAAGGCTATGTCAGGTGAAGATTTTTCTGCATAATCTGTGATTTCAGTTCAGTTGTTATATTTCTCTAAACTAGACTCCTCCACGGGTGCCACCCACAGTGGTGATTTCTAGTAGATATAAATATAAATACAAGGATGCGCGCGTGCACGCATGGGTGCGTGTGTGTGTGTGTGTGTGTGTGTGTGTGTGTGTGTGTGTGTATAATCCCTGCAGTTTCCATTAAAAAGATATGTTGAGGAGGAAACAAGCCTAGTTTATGCACATACGTTTAACAGTGCCTAAGTATAAGTTCCTAAGTAAGTTTCTCCCACTGTTTTAAAACAAAATAAGGAAAAGAATTAAGTGACAATGTAATGAACGTATATGGAAGATGGAAGGTCTACGACTGCCAGCCAGGCCAGGCTGTTTGGAGAGCCTGAAATGGTAACATAGTTGACAGTGAATTGCTGCCTAAACATCAATGATCTGAAAACTGAATTATGGAATGATCAAATTTCACTAGATAGCTGTGATTCTACTTTTGGTGATAGCCTGAGATTCAACAAAAAGTTTTCCTGAAAATGATTAGGATGCTTGGCATCCCAGTTACTAAGTCTGATTTTTTAAACCTGTATTCTAAATTGTTCAGAAAGAGTTTCTAGCAAACATTTCTTATTGATCACCAATAAAAGACTCATTTGCTTTTAGTATAGCATTCTTAAGATGAGGGTAAATAGAACCAGGTACATCAGATATAGTACTTATTATTTTACCATTTTACTTGAAAAAAAAAATAAAATATGCAATTTGTCATATATGTACACACATATATATATATATATATATAAATGATTTTATAAAACATCAGTGGATTTCAGTCTCCGGGTAAACAACTGCATAAACAGATACATTGCTCTCATCATTGGACATTAGAAAATCATTAAGATTTCAAGTAATCATGCAAACAAACGAATTAAGTAAAATGAAAAATTTAATCCAACTTTGGGGTCAGCAGGGATATCTCAGTCAGTAAAGAGCTTGTATCATGGGATGAAGACCTGACTTTCATCTCTAGAACCCACAGAAAAATGCCAGGCATGATGGTACATGCTCATAATCCCAATCCTGGGATGGTAGAGACAAGATGATCATGCTTAGCTGGACCAATAAGTCTCAGGCCAGCGAGAGACCCTGCCTCAAAAACAAGGGGGATAGATCCTGAGAAATGATACCCCCTGGCCTATGCATTCATACACACTTGCATACATATGAGCACCTGTATATACATTAAGCATATGAACAAGCACCATAAATGAATAAACAAATAGCACAATTTTTATGAATTCACTACTTCCATTGGATTTTATATTTCTACTATTTCTCTTCAGTTGAAATTGATGCTTTTAGTCAAGCTGTACCAAAGTCGAATTGTACATTTAGATCATTGTCTGACATCTAGAAGAATGAGATTTAGCCTCTTCATTGTCAAATGTATAATTTTCATCAACCCAATGATGCTTTCCAGTTTTACTATGGAACAGAACAACATTTCCTAGGTGAATTATTGAGAAACCTAAGGTGACTGTTTGAAGTTTGTCCTTGTGTGAGTTTGAAAAAGTTCTATGATTTACTTGTGCTCAAACATCAGTACAAAATGGTATACTTTAAAATGCTGATATTTTAATTCCTCGACAGTTTGGATAATGCATGCTGCTGCTGACTACCTCGTTATGCTGCATAGGTTTTTAAAGGCTTACTTATATTCCAAGAACATTGTTCTCTCTTTCAGACTAATGGTGGTTTTGCACCAGCAGCGCCTTGGCCACAATCACAAGGAAGTGCAACCTAATGCCAGTGTTAGAGCTGCTTTCGTGCATGCCCTTGGCGATGTATTTCAGAGCATCAGTGTGCTAATTAGTGCTCTCATCATCTACTTTAAGGTGAGTGTGTTTAAGTTTACTTACCATCATAGTAATTATAGGGATGAGATAGCATAGAAGAATTATAGGGGTGAGATAGCATAGGAGACTCTAGATAGTAATACTTAAATATTACCAACATTAACAGCCTATATTTACCTGTATAAACTACTTTGCAAAGACCTCAGTCTTCCCCAAATGTTAAGAGCTGTGTCTTTGTTTGCTGGGCTTTGGGTCTTTCAAGAAAGTAATTCCTTTTGTTTGTGGTATTAAGAATGAAAGCCAACTCTCATTAGTGAGGCTTCCATGTACATCAGAGTGTTATACACACAGAAGGCCTCAACTGGCCAAGTTTTGGAGAATAAGAGACTGCAGAGTGTAGGATGGGACTCCTGTACGGAACCTCATGCACCCATGGCTCAGGGACCATTGCAGAAGAGGAGGTAGAAAGGTTGTAAGAGCCAGGGCTGGTTCATGAATGTATGATGTGGAGGCTTCCAGGCCAATGGAGGCTTGCTCATGTGCATCTGTGGCAGTGGTGGTGTGCAACATGGCACCCATGTCAGCTCAGTTAACAAGGGCCCAAAGGGGAGGAGAGAAATAGGTGGCTTGTCAGCACTAGATTGAGAACTACTTGAGACTGGTTGTTGCTGGGTGAGGGGGAGTATGACTTACATATGACAACTGGGTGGGCTGACTAGACTCTAGTTGACTCATTTACACTGAAGGACATTTGGGTATAACCACCTGAATGAATAGGACATAGCATGTATGGCAGAGTGCATAGGATTCAGTGGGGGGGCATGGATGTGGGAGGGGGTCTGGATGTGAGGGGAAAATATTGTATGAAATTTTAAAAGCTAAATAAAAAACAAAGAAACAACAATAACAACAAAAAAGAATGAAAGCAATGGAACCATGGACACGTTAGGTTCCTTAGGTTGCAAGCAACAGAAGACCATTCAGGAAAAGAAATGCACTTACTGGTTGAAATTTATGGAATGAACTCTGGGATGGAAATCAAGGTAGAAATAAGGGTAAATTTATATATTTATATTCAGAAATGATACAACTTCTATCCTAGGTCCCATATTAAAATAAACGTTTCTAGCCATGCATTTTACCTGTTCTTCCTGATGATAGTCACGTTACTGGGAGGGGGAGTCCAACTGACTGTCCCTGGGGCTTAGCTGGGGAAGGCAGAGCACATGATTCACTTTCCTGCTGACATTCAGTCCAAGAGAAGCTTGTTTCCCACAAAGCAGGGCTCTAGCCCAAAATGAGAGTGGGGAAGTGTCTCTGACTCTAAACAAGTAAATATTCACTAGCAGATGTGGCAGACAGGGCACAGGAGCATTCAGCTCTGCCTTCCTAAAGTGTCATGATACTATGATTGTCCAATTTGGGGTGACAGGTCTACTTTTCCTATAGTGTGAAAATGTGTAAGTAAATGGGGCTGGAGAGATGGTCAGCAGTTAAGAGCACTGGCTGCTGTTGCAGCAGACCCAGGTTCAGTTCTAAGCATTATTATGGCAGTGAACAACATTCTGTATCTCCAGTTCCAGGGGATCCTATGTCCTTTTCTGGCCTCTGCTTGCATTGCATACATGTGGTGACCCTACATACATACAGGCAAACCCCTCATACACATGAAATAAAAAATTTGAAATTTTTAAAATGTGAGTAAATTATAATTAAAAGCAAAAGATATCTGAACTCAGGTGTGAAAATGTTCTTTGGATGCTTCAAATAAAAGGCAAAGATATCTTAAAGTCGTAAGTATTAAGAGTTTGAGAGTTCCTTCACAAAGGTTAATGCTACATTTCCTAAGAGAAGTGGGGCATGGGCATTTCTGTGACACTGAACTTCATAACGGGAAGCATAGCAGATGTTTCACCCTGACGCCAAGGGTGCCAGTGGCGAGATAGGTCAAGAATGAGACCTTGGCTTATTCTTTAAAGACTGTGTCAAAAATATCTGCCTCAAGTGCCATATAGGAGAGGATTAAATATACACAACCTCTGAAATAAATGATACCCGTTTTCCTCTCCATAATTAAGGTTGAAAAGCATTGTATAGTGGAAGCATCTTTGTACTCATTTTCATGACTAGAGTGTGCTCATATTAATTTGAGAAATGTTAAATCAGGCCTTTTGAGAGTACTTAAGAATATGTTTCACTTTAATTTTTAAGTTATGGAGAAAGCATTTCTAGAAAGCAGCCCACATTTTTAGTTACTAGAAATTTAAAACCAAAAAGGATTGAGTTTTGAAGAACACTGTTCTGCCTTTGAGTTGAATGCTGAGTATCAGGAGGGTAAATTGGGTGATGGAAAAGGGATGTTTACTTATTTCATTAACTAGGCTTTCTTAATAGAAAGTTTGAATTCAGTTAACCAAAGCTCCCGTGTTTTCCAGCCAGACTACAAAATTGCTGATCCAATTTGCACGTTTATTTTTTCCATCCTGGTTTTGGCTAGCACCATCACCATCTTAAAAGACCTCTCCATCTTACTCATGGAAGGTAGGAGTGATTTCATTATTATTCCTAGGACTGATGCTTTATTTTCTTTTGATCACAAAATGGAATGACTGTAAGGCAAGTCCATGTTAATTTGTACTATCAGGAAAAATTAACGTGATAAGAATTTTTTATATTTGATTTTTACTTTTATGAAACAAATAAGAAAAACTGAGTTCTACATATACTTCTATGATTTTAAATTCCATCTCACATAGAAGAATATTAAGTATAAACACTAAATATAATGTTAGAGGGAAATACTGAAAAAGTATAAACTTCTTTCTTATTCTCAAGCATACCTGGAAAGGTGAAGAAAGATAAGAAGAATCTATTTCCCAGGAAGGATTATAACCTTTGAGTCTCATGTGTCACAAAGTACAAGGACACTAGGGTGATACTCGTGCATTTGTCTGGCAGGTGTTTAGTGAACTCTTCCAGACTGTGTGGTTAAAACTAAACTTACAAAGGTGAGAAAACCAGGGAATAACTCTATCCACCTGGAGCTGTACTTCAGTGAGAGGAGGACGAGATTATCCAAACAGTGAGAGAGAAATAGAACTACAAAGAAGAGGTGTGGGGCTTTAACACCACTGGCAACAGGGCCAGGGGCAGCCAGGGAAATGAGGATTTGGCTCACTCTTAGCCAAGAGTAGGACCTTTTGCTTGTTAACCTTGGTACCTACAGTCAGAGTACAGGTTTTCCAGCTTGCCTGGCTCCTTGGTCTTCTAGGCAATCAGGAATAGATGACAAAAGTAATTCTTACTGTCAAGAAAGTAGCTCTTAGGGGCTGGAGAGATGGCTCAGCAGTGAGGAGCACTGACTGCTCTTGCAGAGAACCCAGGTTCAGTTCCCAGCACTCACACAATGGTTGAAAGCCACATGTAACTTCAGTTCCAGGGGATCTGATACCTCTTCTGACTTTCTTGGGCATTACACACATAGTGTACTTATTTATTCATAGGCAAAACATTCATACACATAAAATAGGAATAAATCAAAAGTTTTTCAAAAAATGAAATAAATAAAAATTTAAACGCAGCTGATTGGCTCATAGACATCCCATCTTCCTGTGTTTCTAACATGATGCCTTTAGAAACAAAAACCAAATTATTATAGTTTGTGACCCAGGAGTGCTGACTTGTGCAACTAAAATGGTGGAAAATTTGCAAACCAAATAATACGGCATTACAATGTTGCCTCTCCTATTAATACACAGTGAGTGCATGGAGTGACTTACTGCATAACCAACATTTGTACAGCATTGTAATTTACAAGGAACATTTTCTAAGAGTTCCTCACATAATTCTATAGTCTATACATTACTCTTATCACTGTGTTTTTACCACAAATAGGCTGAGGATTATATAGTAATTATAGTCAGAATGCTAATTTTAAGATTTATTGATACCAAAGTACATGCTGTTTTATTTTGCTTTGAAGAGTATGTGCAAAGATAATTAGGAAAAACCTTGTTAATTTAATAATATGCTGAGGATGATTACTGTTGTTGGCTATTGCTTGGTAAATTCTACAGTTATGCTGTTGGTGAACTTTGGATTGATGGAAAACCCTTGGACAGAGTCAGATTTTTAAAAAATATATTTTATTTATTATTTTTATTTTATGTGTATGCGTGTATTACCTGCATGTAAGTAAGTGCACATGTGTCATGCAATGCCTGCAGAAGACAGAAGAGGCTGTCAAATCCCCTGTAATTGGAGTTATAAACAGTCGTTAGCTGCCATGTGGGTGCTGGGATTTGAACCCGGGTCTTCTGCAAGAACAACCAGTGTTCTTAACCACTGAGCCATCTTTCCAGCCCGAGAGTCAGATTATTAAATGTTTGAAGCACAAGCCAAAGAAAGGAGTAGGTGCAGGTCCATATCCTGGGAGGACTTTGCAGCCCATTAGCCATCCAGTGGGACTGTGGGCAGCATTTTAGATAAGTAACAACAGGGTCACCTTCTGTCCTTTGTCAGGTGTACCAGAGGGCCTGAGTTATAACAGCGTGAAAGAGCTTATCCTTGCGGTTGATGGTGTGCTGTCTGTGCACAGTCTGCACATCTGGTCTTTAACAATGAACCAAGTGATTCTCTCTGCTCATGTTGCTACAGGTCAGTGAGTTTTGTAAACACCCCAGGCAAGATTTACTCCATGCCCTGGAAAGTCAGTAATTTCTCTTCTCTTTGTAGAGTTGCCCTTCATGTCTATTGTCTGTCAAAACAAGTGTAAAGTGTGTTGTATTATCCAGCACCTTTGAAAACCAACCCACTTATCAAGGTTGTCATAGCAACAGAGATCCCAATGACATACTCAGGACTGACTACTACTAGATAGACAGTACAAAGGGCTAAAATATCTCCCCAACTGCAAGGCTGTGGCCTTAGAAAAGATGACTTCATCTGTTTGGCTTGGTACCCTCTCAGTCTAGGTAATAGGAATGGATTCAACAACAAAAACAGATCTCAATTGCCTATCTCCTGTGTTACTTTCCTTGCCTAATAATAAAGATAAAAGGAAGAAGGAGACATAGGCCTCACCCTTAAAGTTCTATGGGAACATCAGTGACAGTCATTTGAAGGCTGCACTCAGGTGTCTTATGTTCTCCAAAAGGCTGGGATCCAGCATCAGAGAATTTCCAGCATCCTCTGCACCACAAGTGGAAGAGTTCAGTAAATACGTTCCTGTGGAGGGGATTTTACAGTCTCCGGATGCTATTTGGAACAAGGAAAAGGATGGCAGTGAGGGTTGCTGCTCTAAGGAAGGTCTATGGGGAGCTCTAAACGCTTCCTGGTTCCTGTCATTATCCTTGATATAAATTCTGATTAAATCCAAGGGCTGCAACCCAGCGTTCCATGGGGGATGGTGTGCAGAGCTGTATAAGACATAATAGCTCTGTCCCAGCTACTTCCAAGGCTTGTGACTCTTTCTGTAGGAAGCTCTCAGGAGTGCCAGACTCCAGAGGTAACTGTGGGCAAAAAGAGTTTCCACAGTGAAGGGCACTTTGTTGCATCAAAATGCCCCCACATTGTTGTCAGAGCCAACTGCTTCTTTTGAGTGCTCGCCTGCCCTCTCCCTATCTTCCAGCCCCCAAACAGATACTTGAAGCTGAAATTAGCTCCTGCCTCTGTGTGTGTGTGTGTGTGTGTTTGTGTGTGTGTGTGTGTCCGCACGCGCACATGCATGTCCATCATTGCTAATCTCCCTGTGGTTTTGTGTCAACAGCGCCCAGCTGGGACAGCCAGGCAGTGCGGACACAGATTGCTCGAGCCCTCAGCAGTCACTGTGCCATGCACTCTCTCACCATTCAGATAGAATCTCCAGCAGACCAGGACCCCAACTGCCTTTTCTGTGAAGACCCACAGGACTAGCTCAGCCACACTGTCAGCTTCTTGTGTGTCATAGTCCATGACAGGCTGCTGTAAAGTTTCTGGAACACAGAATAAAGCAACCAGAGGAAGAAATTTGAGAAGAGAACGTGCATTTTCTTCTTTATTTAGCTCCATCTACCATGAATGAAGATGAGTTTAGATCCATCAGTCTCTTGCATTATAGACTCACCAGTAGCTGTGTTCAATCACAGAAACGTGTATAAATTACTCCTTATCAGGGCTGAAATAACAGATGTTTATAACCACAGGCATTTAAAGGTTCACTTCCTTGCAATAATGCTTCCTGAGAATGAAATCATACAGTAGAATTCAGGAATGCCTTCTCATGAATCCCTGGCAGGGACAGAGTCACAAAGCTTCCCCCAAGCATGATAAACAAATATTATAAAAGCCTCAATTGGGACAAAAGAGAATCTGGAGCCATTAGAACTTAGGTTTTCAACCATCCTCGGTGAGACAGCTACTATTCACAGAACAGGCTAGAACTTCTCTCTCTTAACTTGTATGAAAATTATGTTGCTATATGTCCAAAACTATTGAATTATATTTCTCTTCACAAAGGGCCTGATGTCATCATTTGAATGAGGAATGTCTCCTATAGGCTCATGTATTTGAATACCTGGTCCCTAGTTGGTGATGCTATTTGTGTGAGGTTATGAAACTTTGAGGACTCAGAGTCATTCTGGAGAAAGCACGTCACTGGTGTCTGGCTTTGAGACTCTATAGCCTTTCCCCACTTCAACTTCCCTCACGCTGCTTCCTGCATGTAGATGAAATGTGAGCACTCGGCTTCTTCCTCCTGCTGCTGTGCCTCCCGCTGTCATGGACATCTAGTCCTTTGGAACTGTAAGCCAAGATAAACTCTTCCTTAAGTTGCTTTTAGTCATGGTATTTTATCACAGCGATAGAAAATTGAATAAGACAGCCTGGGCAAAAGAAAATTCTGAATTACTTTTGAATCTCTTCATAAAGTGTAACAATAATGCAAGAAAACAAGGAGGCACAGAGAGGGATAGTTCTTATTCCAGGTTGCACAGAGAGGAATTCAGGGGCAGAACTGAGTTAACTCTCAGGTTTTAGATATTTATGGAGCACCACTGCTCAATTGCTATACTTTTCACTTCATTTCATTATAACAACTCAGAGAAGATGGGATGAATACTTAATATTATGCAGATAGAACGTAAAGGCCAAAGAGGTTAAGTAACGAAACCACTGTTATTTCTTCATTCATTCAAAAATATTTTTTCAATGTATATTTTAATTGAATTTTGTGCATTTCGTACAATACATCTTATCATATTTAGATCCCTCCCTCATCTGTTACCCCCATAGCCTGCTTACAGAATTTTATGCATTCTGTTGTGTATGTTAAGGCTTATCCAGTCAAGCTTGTGAACCCAGATGTCCCTTGGTATGAGTTCAACCACTGGAGCATATTCACCCTATCTAGAGTCACTCCCTTAAAGAATATCAGCTTTCCCTCACCTAGCAGTGATTGGCTGCCAGTAGTTCCTCAGCTAAAGCTGATTTCAGGCACGGGATGAGGACTGGGGAATGAAGGCTGCGAAGTCTGTAAACGGGTGGTTATATCTGGTATGTTATAGATGTTTATAGAGTCTTGAGGTAGGGCAGAACACCAAACAGTGAGAGGGAATGAACATCCTAGCTTGATTCTTTACTCCCTTCCATATAAAGCCACAGTCTAGTTGGATTAAGGACCCATCTTTATGTTTGCATTGATGCTGAATTTCCTTCCTAAATCCCATTATCATAGTTGGATTATATTCTACCCTCTTAAGAGTCCACCAGGGGCTTTAAAAGTCAACACAAGGTTTTTTAGGGATATTGGTGGGGCTATTGAAACCACATCTGTGAATGAAGACAACATGACTTTTGCCTTCATAAGCTGCATTCCTTTGTGGGGAGGATATACACTATATAAATGAACAGGGCTGAGAAATAGTACAAGGAATAGCCAGTGATGTGAAGGAAGAGAGGCTGTTAAACTGGGCCAGTTAATGAAGAGTTTCTCTGAGAAAACAGCAGCTAAGTTGAGATGGGCACAAAAAATATGTGCCAGTCATGTGAAATGTGAGAGGAGACATGTTCAGAAGAAGCAACGATATGAGTGAGCACACTGAAGAATCTGGCTAGTTTGAGGACGGTCCCGGGTGCAAAAGTACATTAACAGGGTAAGTTAAAGAGCAAGAAAGACATGGAGCAGGAGACAGAAGCCAAATCAGAACACACCACCTTTTAAAATTTTTATTTATTTATTTTTATTTTATGTATATGAGTGTACTTATTGCCTGCAAGGATATAAGTGCACCCATGGCTTGCAAAGCCCACAGGGGCCTGAAGAAGGCATCAGATTCCCTGGAACTGGAGTTATGGATAGTTATTAGCAGTCATGTGGGTGCTGGCAATAGAACCTGGGTCCTCTGCAAGCTTAGCAGCCAGTGCTCTTAACTTCTGAGCCATCTCTCCAGCCCCATGAGATCTATTTTATCCTGAAGTTTACTTATGCCACTTTGAATACATGTTTTTCTTGTGTTCTCCCCCTACCCCCTGTAATCTGTGCCAACAACCAGCCATTATTTCAGAAGTGTGTGCAAATGATGAGTCTGGAGTCTGCATTTTTCAAAAGAATAGAGTGGATAAATTAAAAGGCAAAGGGCTGACAGTGGTTCCTTGATGTAGCCTGTCCATGACTCAGCATGGCAGTGACACTATTCACACACAGCCATGAACTTGACACCATCTCTACGAGTCTGGCTAAGGAAAGAGAAAACTTGAACTAATTGAAAAGGTAGTGATCTGGTAAAAGATGTCCCTGGGTTATTCCATTAAAAGCAGAGCTATGAAAGAGAGGACATGTTGTGGTGTGGGTGGAATAAGAGACTGCAATGGAGGGAAGAGCACAAGACAATGAGAAAACATGACTTCCACCACTTTCTGTTTCTTTCTAGATCTCTAATCTTGAACTAGTTCTATTTTCTGAGATTTAGATTCTGTTGTTACAGAGAAATTTTTATGAGCTTCATGGAATAATAAACATATTTAACAAGGTCTTTTCCATGGTAAACAGTCCAATTCCTAGTCTCTGAACCTCAGCACTATTTGTATTCTCATATATATATATATAAAGTCTGATTTGTGTCCCCAAATGTCTCTTCAGTGCGGGTTAATCCACTGGGCCCACTAAGAATCCCATCCCTGTAAGACACTGTCTCTCCTATTCCAAGCAGCTATCAATTGTCAAAAGTTCCTTAGATTGGTTTAGGTTTTCTTACCCATTTCCTCATGTGTATGCTGGGATGTTTTTCTGGTTTGAACTTGCATAGGACTTGTACATGTTGTCACCATCATGTGAGTTCACATGTGTAATTGACTGCTATCTGGAAGATTCTGTTTCCTTGTGCTCATCCACCTTCTGTGTCTCTACCCTTTTGCCTTCTCTTCTGCAATGAACCCTGAGACTTGGGAAGCAATGGTTTGAAATAGGTGTTCTAATCAAGGATAAGCACTCTGTGGTATCTTGCTTTCTGTACATTGTCTAATTGTGGGTTTCTCTGTTAATCACCATCTACTATATAAGGAAACCTCTCTGGTGAGAGTTGAGAAATGCATTCATCCTATGTGTAGAGGTTGCATTGAAGATGTGTCACTTAGAGTTAAGCATCTCACAACACATCTATATTTAACAAGTTCTTGAACTGTGCAATAGTCTCCATCTGTTGCTAAAAACAAGTGTCTTTGATGAGGGGTGGAAGGTATACTTGTCTGTAAATATGAGGATGTATATTCAGAATAAAGTAAGAAATTACTTTGGTCTATGGATGTTGCAAAAGTAGGTTATTCTCTAGGATCTATGACCTCTCCAGTCATGTGTATTTGGCAATGCTTACAGTACCACACATTAGTTCCCTCTCACTAAGTGGGCTTTAACACCAATTAGAAAGCTGTTGATTATCCTCAAGATAAAAGTGCCATATCTGCACCAATAGGGATACTTTGCTGGGCCAGTCATTATTGTTTGTTAGGCTTTAGAGTTGGGTAGGACCATTGAGAGGCTTTCTCCCTTGGCAGCTTGTATAGTATCTTCTGATACCATGAGAGCTAGTCTTCAGAGAGGAGGCTTTCAGGTAAATTCCAGCTTGATTTCTCCAAGTTCTGTGCCCACACTGTGGCCTGTCTTCAGCAATAAGGTCTATATCTTCAACTTCTAGGAGACAATCAAGGGCTGTAGCAGTAGCCTGTGTTATTCTGGGAATCTCTTGAACTACCCTCACCAACAACTTGAAGAGAGGTTTCTTCTGCCTGGCACTGTAGTTTTTGTTGTATAGCCTTCAGCTATACACATACACTTGTATATTTATTGTGTGTATTTTTCAGTAGGATTTTGAAGTAATACATTTCCCTCTGGTTTTTCATGCCATCTAAGAACTATTTATTTCTTCTTTCACTCTCCCTGTATAACCTTCCCTCACAGTAATCTTTATTCCTTCATCACCTCTTGATGATAAATCCTTTTTAGTTTTACATTCTAACCTGCTAATTAACAGGACATTAACTTATTATTAAAATCTCATAAAGACACTATTCAAAAGAAAGTATTTCCACCTCAGAGTGTTTATATCTTGGAACCCACGAAAGAATTTGGTTGTAGGAAACTAGAGATCTTCAAGAAGGGTGTAGAAAATTTTTGGAGTAAGCTCTTCAAGTTAGTGACACTGCAATTAACCTAAAAGGAGGGAATGATGGAAATACAATTAACTCAGTGACTCAACAAGCATGATCTGAGCACCCGCTTTGTAACAAGCATTGTCTGGACAATGGTGTTATAGAGAAGAATTTGATACAGTGAATGATTCTAAACCACAGTGTGCAACTCATATCTCCTTTGGAGAATCTATTAATATAACGATGTACAGGTCAATGTCTGGGAAATCTCAAGTCTGTAGCCATGACTTATA